AACTCTAAATTTAAATAATTAAAATAGCAGGGTTTTGATTTTTTTTTTTTTTTAAGAGGCATTTTTCCAAAATTCCTCATGTCTAAATCAATCTAATGTAAATATTGCAAAATATGCATAAGAATGTAAGTACAATTAAAATTTTATTTCAAATAATTTTCTTACTGCTTCTTAAAATAACTTTCAACTATTAAAAATTTTTTGAGCTATAAATTTTTATACTAAAAAATAGAAAAAAAAAAAAACTGTTCTAGAGGAAAACTAAATCAACCATTCAGAGACTTACAATAAGCAGTCCTCTTTATGAACAAAACAACTGAACTGAAAAATAAAGCACTAAAGCGAAATAACTAGCAGTGATAAATCAATTTAAAATAAGAATCAAAATGCTGAGGAGCGCAACTCGCTCTCAATAGGATTATCTCAGGCATATTTTAACAAAATGTAAAATCACAAACTCAATAATGCGCATCTCATGTTAATTCTATATGCTTCTGGTAAATATACACAAGATATTCAAGGAACTATGTGAATTATATCCATGCCTGTTCTTCCTGCCAACAACAGAATGTTTAAAGAAATTTATCATCATTAGAAAAGTGAAAGTTCTGAGGATTTGGCCGAGAACAATTTCGAACCTGGAATCATGAACGGGACAAGCTCATGTTCAAGAAAGTAGGAAAAACTATTCTGTGCAGACACCAAATTTTGTCCGGAGACCAACCAGAATATGCCACATCATCTCCTGTTCGGTACCCGGTTCGGTACTACTAACATAACGCATTCTGATTGGTCTCCAAATGGTGAATAGTATTTGGCATCCGCACAGAATAATTTCTCAGAAGGTAGACTGCATAGTTCAAATACTGACACTTTCTCCGAGGAATAGCAAGCATTTATGCCATCATCAGAGAAGCATTAAAAAATGATTAATTTCATCTGTTGAGAAAATTATCTAGTCAAGGAGTAATCACATATTCACATGGCAATAAAAAACTAAGATGGATTTTTTGTGAATTTTGCAATAAACATCCCACTGGTTTGGGATGTTTTGGGATCGAATCGCAAGGTTAGGGGGATTCCTCCACTTCTACAGCGCCACGTCTCAGCAGAATCGACCTTCATTAGTTCTACAAGAAAACATTGGAACAGTCAGCTAATGCTGCACTCTATGAAACTCTACGCACGTAGAAAGGAATAAGAAAACAATTTTTGTATGTAGAAATCCAAGATAAACTCATTTTTGAAGGCGAGTTTAAAAGAAAAATCAAATTCGTCTAATTATAATCAAACAAATGGCTGAACTCGCCGTTGGAGGTGAGATTCAATCACACCAAAACATTTAAATTGCCCCAAATAGAAACTAGACAGAAAAATGCTATAGAACAATTTCACAAGTAATTACTACCAAAGGACAATCTACCACCACCATTAAGTTACAAACTTCATTAACAGAGTTGAAATAAGGATTTGACAAATGTCAATTTGGGGACAGAAGTGTCCCTCGAGTAGTTTGAAAATAAAGAGAATAAAAAAAGGTGAAAATTGCAAGGAATATTGTGCAAAGGATATATACATACATACACACATACAAAAAAATTGCTTTAATAAAAAATAATGTGAAGAAGAATGTCTCAAAGTCTAAGGGGATGTTTGAATTCAAGTAGGATTTAGTAAATCTTGTAAATTTGAATTTAATAAAACTTGAAAACGTCAAATCTTGAAAATAGTTTGGCATGATAAATTTTATATCTAGCTAAATATTGGTTAAAGTGTTTGGCAGTAATTTTCAAGGTTTAAGATTTAAACAAATAAATAATTAATAATTATTATTGCATGGAAAACAGTTAAATTAATTAGCATGAAATAATACTATTGACCTCCATACACATTCCGCAATCAATAAAAGTGAGAATAACAAGAATGACAATTGACGGGTGTGTCTAGCGAAACACCTTGATGTCACATGAAATCACTCTATGCATAAACAGAATGCATCAACGTGTTCAGAGCAACAAATTTACCAAAGAAGAACTGCTTGCATATAAGAAGATCAAGCGACGAACGACGGGCAAGACACTATGCAAAATTGTCTAAAATGATATCCATCATGAAATGGACTTAATCGTTGCATCTAAGATGTCAAAAATACCCAAGAGGGACCCTTGGCACACAAATCGAGTGACAACAATTGAAAATGATGGACTGCAGATGTAACATTGAGCGACGTCGCTTATTTGCGAAATGAACTTTGTCGTTTCATCTGGAACATCGAAATCACTTAGAATGGACACATATTAAATGAGATATTGTGTGAAAAATAGGCATAATTTGCACAAGAGGCATTGCCAAAACGTAAACTGAGACACGAATATTGAGAAATCGAGCGAGGGGTAGATTCACATTTTTTTTAATTTATATATAATATTAATGAAATATATAATAATAAAACATGTTTATTATATATTTTTTATTTATATTAAAAATATATAAAATATAAAAAAATCTTATTTTATATAAATATGCATCCATATCCCTGCTCGATACCTGCTCTTATCCTATCATTCTTGCCTCTTAAATAAAAAAAATATATTTATTATAATAAAAAGAAAAGAAATAATAATATCCTAATTTACGAATAGGCAACCAAGCTCCCCTCTCCCATTCTTTTTATAGTTGAACTTCATTCCCTCTCCCATACGCAAGTCTTCTCCTTCTCCCATACATGTACAAGCAACTACTCACGCATACCTCCTCCCACTCCTCTGACCTCACAAAATCGAACAACCAACACCCGTCTCCACCTTCACACATCGACTGCTACCTAAACAGCTCATCACTATAGGCGCAAGCCCCTATAGTTAATTACCCCTCCTGATCATGAGAGAGAACTTTCGATTAAAGCTAGTCGTCAATTAGATACGTATAGAATACGTGTTATCTGGCATATAGTAGCAGCAACGGGTTTAGGATTTGGAGATTTGGAGAGTTTGGAAAATTTATATTTAAAACAGAAATTGCACCATTTTGCACTTAAAGCAGTTGGTGGGGGAATGGATGATGGACCCGATCAAGATCCCATGGTTCTGTCGTCCCGGGCCATCGTGGTCCCTAGTCTACTTAGTGAGAGGAGGTAATCGAACTAACCTAACAGAAGGATCCTTATCGGCAGCCATGGGTTGCTTCGTCCAAGGGTACCTTGTAGACCTGAGATGAATGTTTGTCTAAGGGGACAAATTTGAATCCACCTTAGCTAACAGAGGGTTTTATGCCCTATCAATCATATCATATTGATTCATATCTCAAGGATTTATGCCAATAAGGAACGTATTGGCTCTGACCATAACCGGTATTTCGTGATGCCATTTAGCGGCAAAACAACTCGGTTCAGAGGACCCTGGGTCATAAACGTTTATCCTGCTGTGTCATTTGGCAGCAAAATCGTCGGTTAGAGGACACATACCATGTCCTTATTGGCAGGAGATTGTTTGAGAATGGATCCTAGTGATATTTTCGACTAGGCATTTAGCTCTTTGTGAACTGAAGTAATTTTCAGATTTGTCTACCTCGGCAAACTGTTGCGAATGGTGGATGGATTTTGTGCTTTTAAGTGTTGATGGATCTGTTTCAATTTTAAATATTTTTGGATTTTGGATTTTTTGGGAATTTTGGATTTTTGAATTTTTTTAGAGTTTGGACTTTGGATGGAATTTTTGAAGATATTTGAAATGTTTGTGCACCCCTCCGATTGAGATAGACATTCAACATGGCCATCATCGGGGTGTTTGGGATCATTTCCATTTAATTAAGTCTTGTCAACCCTATCAACTTGCTGATAGGGGATCGAGTTTCGTAGACTTTGTCTTTGTTAGTGAATTCTCAGTGTTATAAGCCTTGAAGGCCTAATATGAATGTATTAAAATAAATACATCGGTCGCCACAACCGTGTATTTGTTTGAAGGTTCGACCCTGTCGACTTCTATTGATCCGTATAGAAGGATCGGATTCAAACTTGAATTCACTTACCGACCCGCGCAGCATCCCTAGACGTCACGTGTGTATTTATGACACGCTCTCTAGGGCCCATGTGGGTTATTTTTATATACCCCTTTAGTGTACCTATGTGTATACAAACTACAGTGCACGTGCATGGGTTCTTTGAAATAGTTGTAGTTGTGTAGGCAACTTTCATTTGAGTGCACAACATTTCATTTAAGAGTTTATACACGCCTTCTGTCCGCTAGTACAGGTGTTGCAAATCCGGTGGCGGTGCGTTGTAGATTGTAGACGCCTTCTGTCTGCTTGTATAAGTGTTGCAGATCCAGTGGCGGTGCAGTCTTGATCTCCTCATCTTGATGTTGACTCCCCTTTTCTCATTCACCGGGGAGGTCCTTCTTGAAATCCATGGCCACTGCCTTGAAAGGGACTCCTTTTAAGATCTTCAGTGAAATAGACTTGTTGTTTTCGGATATTTGAAGATGCAAGAATTGTTTTCTTCATAAGTTTTAGAACACCAGGAAGTTTAGTTTGAATTTGCTCAAACATCTCTTCCTTTCTGTCAGGCGATGTCCTTTTATGTATATCGAGTTGCCTTCGTACCCGACGTACTCGTAGACTTTAATCATCGTTGTCGTAGGTGATATTTGTACTTGTGCCGACAGTGGTTCGTTGTACCTATGATGTATCCACTGTTGTTATCCATAAGCAGCTCATGTTCATTTGTAGGGGCCCGTTGTATCCACTACGACCTCCTGGAAGTGTTTGTGGAAGAACTATTGTTGCCTACATCATACCCACCTTTCACCAATCTCAGGCGGGTTAATATATTTGCATTTGTTTGTAGGGACGGATCTTTCATTATTGGTCTCCAGTATCGCCTTCTTCAATCAACAAGCATTCGTAGGGATTGTTGTGGGATTTTCCAATGGTGCATATGGAAGGGACGCCCATACATTTCATTCTTGCAGGTACGATGCACCAAACCTCATAGAGACTGTTGCAATAGTCCACTACATTCTTTACTGCATGCATTGAGGTCTTGTAGTGCGCCTTAATCACATTTGTTTACTAGGGTCAATGTATTTCATCTGACATTGAGTCACTATTGACAGTACAAATGTTCTTGTAGTTTGAGTTTCCTCGTGTGTGATTCAAGCTTTGTACCTTGCATGTGTTTGAATTCAAGTTCAATTTCATTCAAACTTGAATTCATCAAGTTTATAAGTCCCCACTTAATGTCGTATAGCTCGAGTTCAAGTACGAGCTCAGAGTACATGTTCAAGTTGATTGTTCATGATTTATGAAATCTTTGCAAGTTCAAGTTATGCTCATTTGATTTGAATTCAGCTCCAATTTCATCTTGTTTTATTTGGATTTGACCTTTCGAAATTATTTAGCTTTTTGTTCAGATTTAGGTCCACAAGTCCACTGTTCTTGTTCGAGTACAAGTTCTTTATGGTCCAAGTCAAATCTTTGCTCAGGTTCAAATGTTCAAGTCCTTGCATGTCCTTTTTGAATTCAAACAGGTCCGTGTTGTAATATTTCACCCGAAATTTCGGCAGCCTACCGGCGTCTTCCCTGTTTAGGGAAAACTACGAAAAATTGGGCATTTCCCACCACGCACAATAAAGACGTGCATGGTAGGTTTCCTCTTGCGATGACACCGCGGCCGTGTAAAGTCTTTGTCCCCACCACGTGCAATAAAGGCGTGCATGGGTCTTCGATACCTATTGCAAGAAAAGAGCAGTTGTTTCCCCGCAGGTACAAAGCCGTGTACGAGTACTTAAGAATTGTCCCGACCACGCTAATAAAAGCGTATAGCAGGCCTACATGCCTCGTCGTATGCGTCGCACTGGGTTCCCACCTACCACGCTCAATAAAGGCGTGCATAGGTGGTTGATCGGCTTGTCGCACACATCGGGACAGGTTTTGGGGGCCGAGGGGTCGCTCGCCTACCTCGTCGTAGGAGTCGCACCGGGTTCCCTCCTACCACGCTCAATAAAGGCGTGCATATGTGGTTCACCGGCCCGACACGCATGTCGAGGCAGGATGACGATGGGTTGCTCGCTTACTTCGTCATAGGTGTTACACCGGGTTCCCTTCTATCATGCTCAATAAAGGCGTGCATAGG